CTAAAACATGCCATTTCCTCTCTCTTCCTTTTCATCATCCCAAAGGAAGTTTTCCTTAAGTACTACAGTTGGCAAATTCAGCTTTGCATCTCAGGTAGATGGAAGAAATAGAAAATCTGAGTTTTTAAATCCTTGTTATCAGCTGTGTAACAATTATTGTTGTACCCTGGCTTCAAAAAGTATTCCACACTGTCCACATCCTCTTATTGGAAGCCTGGCATTCCTGGACATCTTAAAATAATTTAAAAAATATATATAAATATTTAAAAATATATTACTTTTATTTTAAAATCATGTTGATTTTGGGGTGTTGTTTCTTTTGTTCTTGAAAGCTCCAAATGCATATTCTGCACCTCAGTTTTAAATTCCCTCATAATTATTCCCTGGGATCATGGGATGGTGAAATCATCATAGGCAGGTGCCCAAAAATCCTGTTTGGATTTTTGAATGCAACTGTACTCCTGAATTATTATTAAGCATGATTTAAATACATTAATTAAAAATATCAGCTGTTTCTTTTATTCACAGTCCTCAGCAGGAGCCTAACACCCTCTGGCACAAATGGGACTCTTAAATTTGCCTTATTCCATACATAAAATCTCTGAAGATTTTTGCAGGTCCTGCTGGACATTCCTCATGGAGAAGGTGCTGCTGTCCTTCCATGGTGAACACAAAAATAGAAGAGAGGAAAATGAGTTTTGCTGCTACCTTATTCTCTCTGAGCTTTTTTTAAAGTATTTTTTTGCCTTGATCAGCTCGTGGCCCTGCAGGCTCCCTGTCAGGCTCCCCATCACGGCTCTGTTTGAAGGAGGATTTTTTAAAAAATTTATTAATATTTGTGCTAAAAGTTGCAAGGTGGGGTTGGGGTTCTGCTTTTTGGCCTACCCAGTTCTGCTATACTGAACACCTAAAAGTCAATTCATCACCCCACCAATACCTGAGGGAGCTTTTCCCTAATGAGGAAAATAAATGACTGCGTATTCCACCCTCAGATGGGCAAGATCATGTTTGTTTTTTAATCACCTGCCAGAGCTTGGGCAGCTTTTCGTGTTCCCCATGGCAGAGGTTGGGATTTGAAGGCCAGCTGTTTATTCTGAGTGATCTCCCTGCCCTGCTGTGGCTCCGTGCTGACTTTCCTGGCACTTTTTCCAGCCTTTCCCTGCCAAACCACCTGGTGCTCTTGCTTTGCCTCCAGTTGGCACCCATGGGCACCTCAGACACTCCACTCCTTCATTAATCTGTCTCCCCTTCCTTTTAATGAGCTTCCATCTCCTCATGAAGCTCCTGAGAAGGAGCCTGGTAGGGGATTTTTCAGCCTCTTTCAGGGATGTTGGATGCCTATGGAAGATTCCTACTTTGATTCCTCATTTTTAAAACAATTATTTCTGATTTAAAGCATATACACACTTTCTTAAGCTCCCTATGTGTGCCTTGATTAATTTCTTAACATGCTATTACCCATTTATTAATGTAATGGCTGCTTTATTGTTTTATGGTTTTTTAGTTCTAATTTCTAAATTTGAATGAAAAAGATGCTGCATTGGGGATTATTAAAGCAATATGAAAGCACCTTGAGTTTAGCTTCAAGGCACATCAGCCAATTTAATTCAAAACAGTTTTAAATTATAAAAGTTAGGGCTGTTCAGCCTGGAGAAGAGAAACTTGTGGGCAGACCCCACAGTCCCAGCCAGGGTCTGAAGGGATCCAGGGAAGCTGGAGAGGGACCCTGCAACAGGAACTGGAGTGACAGGACACAAGCAATGGGTTCAGACTGACAGGGGGGAGATTTAGATGGGTTTGGATTGGAAGGGACCTTAAAGCCCATCCAGTGCCACCCCTGCCATGGGCAGGGACACCTTCCACTGTCCCAGGCTGCTCCAAACCCCAGTGTCCAACCTGGCCTTGGGCACTGCCAGGGATCCAGGGGCAGCCCCAGCTGCTCTGGGTGTTAATATTGAATTTAAACCCAGACCAACAGATGGGATTGGTTTTGTTGTGGCTGTGTTTCTAACTCAAATGTGGAGTTTTCTGAGAGGGCTCCAACTAATCTGTGGATTTAAAAATAGCATTTTAGTCTTGGTCAGTTTTCTGCATAATCTTTCTTCCCATGTAACTTCTGTGCCATCCTAAAGCCTTTTAAAAATTCAAGCAGATGTCAAATATATCTTCTTCTCTCTTTCTTTCTGCCTATTTTGAGCTCGTCTCCCTCATTATACTTTTAAGAGTTTAATTTTTCAGAGAATCCCAAATGGAATTGGGTGATGACAAAGGACCTGGCCAGTGAGACAGGGACAGCAGCCACGAGCAGGAGTGGAGTGAGGAGCTTCCCAGTCCCAGTTTGGGAGGCCAGGAGCATCCATTCTCACTTTTTAAATGTGCCTATCCCTGACATGTCTCTACTTTAAATTAATTTGGTGTGGAAAAGGCTGGAAGAGCCTCTGGATTTGAGAAACCTGCTGGAAACACCTGGGGGGACACACCTTGGGGTGTGATGGCAGGTGCCCGTGGGGCTGTCCACAAGGGGTCAATGAACTGCCTTTGCTCCATCCCTGGCTCCTTCTCCTCCTCCTGGCTCATCCCTTTTCCCTCTAAGTTTACCCTGAGCAGTGCCAAAGCTCTCCCAGCTCCTTTCCAGCTCTCAGCAGGATGATTTCTGACAGCTCTGCCAAAACTTGGCCGAGCGTGGACTCGTCTCATTCCTGTTCCCCCTCTTGCAGAACACAGAGCTTTCCAAAGGAAAGGCTGCCAGGACCAGTTGTATGTGGGGAAAAAAAGGGGTGTCTGGCTTTTCACAGGGCTCATGAAGGGTTTTTGTCATGCAGGGAAAGGTTCCAAGGGGAGGGGAAAGCCTGGTGTGCACACATCCACGTGTGGCACATTTGTGGTTGGTTGAGCAGCCAAGGTCACTGAAACTGTGGGACTTGGGAGTGGCAGTTCTGGAGTTGCCACTGGAGGCTGGATTGACACAGATGAAAGCTGGCACCAGTTTTGGGGTGACCTCACTGTGATCTTCCAGGACCTGAAGGAGCTACAAGAAAGATGGAGAAAGACTCTTTACAAAGGATGGAGGGGCAGGACATGGGGCAATGGCTTCCTAGTGCCAGAGGGCAGGGATGGATGGGATATTGGGAATTAGGAATTGTTCCCTGGCAGGGTGGGCAGGCCCTGTGAGATTCCCAGAGCAACTGGGGCTGCCCCTGCATCCCTGGCAGTGCCCAAGGCCAGGTTGGACAGGGCTTGGAGCAGCCTGGGACAGTGGAAGGTGTCCCTGCCCATGGCAGGGGGTGGAATTTTGGATCTTTAAGATCCTTTCCAACCCAAACTATTCCATGATTCTACAGTTCTATCTCATGTTAAACATTTGAATTCACTTCCAAATAATGGTGAATTGTTCCCACACCCATGACACTTGTCCAATGTAGATATCCCTGCAATGTCTGTGTAGGTACAGAGTTTGTGGTAACTGGGAGTGGGGCTGAGCCTCATCCTCAATGGGCTACAGCTGTGAGAAGCAGATGAACAATATAGAAATTAATGAGCTGTTAATGAGCCCAGGGGCACTGACCAATCACACAGGAACAGAGGGCACACAGGTGCAGTGCATCAACATCAGGGTATAAAAGGTTGGGCTGAAGAACAGCCAAGTGTTGATGCCTGAAACTTTCCTCTGTGTGAGTCACACCTTTGCTGCCAGTGGTGAGTTTTGTATCCCATGGAAAAGGGCTGGAGTTCATGCCCAGGGCCCTGTGGCCCTGCTGGGCTGCTGCAATTCCAGGTGGTGCAGGACGTGTCCCCAGCTGCCACCACCCACCCCTCGGGCTGCCCTGGCAGTGCCAGCACCTCCTGCAAACGGGGCTGGTGCGTGGGCACAGGGGTTGGGGGCATTGGGAGCGGGGCTGAGCCTCATCCCTAACGAGCTGCAGCTGTGAGAAGCAGGTGAGTGATATTGAAATTAATGAGCCTTAATGAGCCCAGGGGCACTGACCAATCACACAGGAGCAGAGGGCACACAGGTGCAGTGCATCAGCACGAGGGGATAAAAGGCTGGGCTGAGGCACAGCAAGGGCAGTTGCTGGCAGTGTTAGGATGTTACTCTGTGTGAGCAGATACCTGAAGCCTTCTGAGCTGGTGAGGTGTTGCTCTGTGTGGGCTGAAGCTTTTTGATACTCTGTCTATTGTGGTCCTCTCAACTGTGGCATGTCTGTACCTTAAGTTTCTTTTCCAGTGTGTATTTGTGCATCACAGCCACCCCAGCTCCTGGTGATGCTCCAGTTCAATTTGCTGTTGTCCTGTTTTCAGGCATTTGCTGTGTTTCACTGTGTGATGGCTGAAATCCCTGATTTGAGGGACTATTTATAGAAATGCAGTGAAGTATTTGTGAGCTGCCTTTATCAAGTGTTTACTATCAGCTTCTAAGCTGATGGGGGGGCTGGAGCACTTTCCCTGTGGAGTCAGGCTGGGAGAGTTGGGGCTGGAGAAGAGAAGATTGTGTGGAGACCTCACAGCTTATTCCAGGGTCTGAAGGAATACAGGGTTCAGACTACAGAGGGGAAATTTAGGTGATATATAAAGAAGGAATCCTTCCCTGCCAGGGTGGGCAGGCCCTGGCACAGGGTGCCCAGAGCAGCTGGGGCTGCCCCTGGATCCCTGGCAGTGCCCAAGGCCAGGCTGGATGGGGCTGGGAGCAGCCTGGGATGGTGGGAGGTGTCCCTGCCCATGGCAGGGGTGGGAATGGATGGTTTTAAGGTCCCTTCCATACAAGCCATTCTGGGTTTTTTGTGATTCCTTTCCTCCAGGATCTGTCCTGGGGCTGCTATAGAAATGTTCATGTTGCTTGGTTAATTTGGATTTAAAGGGGCCATGAGCTGTAAATATTCTTCTCATTCTGAAGGTTTTTTCTCCTCCAATACCCTTCCCAGTGAGATGTTATTGTGCTAAACTCCAGATCTCCCTGCTGGCTTTCTAATTGCTCTGTTTCCAATGTGTTTTTTTCATTTCAGGCCCATGTGAATCCCATCAGTGTCACTCCACCCATCCAAGCCATAGACCAGGACAGAAACATCCAGCCTCCTTCAGATCGACCTGGCATCCTCTACTCCATCCTAGTTGGTTGGTGTCTGCTACTTTTCCTATCCTTCCCAATCTCTTTATGAGCAGCCAGGAAAAGATTGCCTGGGAGAGTGGAACCCTGATTAAAAATTGCTCTTGTGGTCAGTGGGATGTTTGGAATTCTTTTTCTGCCTGTTGGTGTTTAATTGCCATGTGGAAGTTGATTTCATGTGGTTGTTTATTAGTGTTTATTCAGATTAAATCCAGAATTGTTCTCTGGTTTAGTGAATGGATCAACACAGGGAAGGAAAGGAGAGCTCTGCTGGCATGTGCTTTCCATTGACTAAAAAAGAGGCTGAAAAAAGGCAATTAGAGCAGATTTCATCCCAAAAATCACGTGGCACAGGGCAGCTCCAAGGATCTTACCACATCCACCTCCAGTTTTGCTCCCTGTGAGCTTTCCTTTGTAATTTAAAATTGATTTAGTTGGTTATGCTGCTGTCTTCTTTTTCCTTTTGCTTCCCTGTGTTTGGCATTTGTTTCTGGGTTTGTAGGATATGACCATGGCTGGCTCTTGCAGGGTTCCACCTGCCTGGCTGATCCCAAAATCCACCCAGGGACCTTTCTGTGGGATTTGGAAAGGGGGAATTTTGTAGAATCCCATCTTTCCCTGTCTTCCCTGTGTTGAGCTCCATGTTTTTCCCAGCCAAGGAGAGAGGCAAGTGAGGGTTTTGAGGGCCACGTTGTGGAGGTTTAGCTCTGCAAATGGGCTTTTTTATAAATGTCATAAATTGGTTTTATTCCTAACTTCTGCAGGGACAGCTCCACCCCAAGGCCAAGTTTAGGCCACGTTTTTAAGGTTTTTTTCATAATTGATGAAGTTCTTCAGGAGTGAAATTATTAAAGATTGTGTGTCACTAACTTGGGATGTTTGGAATATTGGAGTGGCTGTTCTGACCTCCAAGAAATAATTCAGAAAGGTGTGGTGGTGCAGCAATTTAAGTTGGTTTGGGGACTTTTTTTTCCCTTTTTCCCCCTTTTTTTCCTTCTTTCATTTTTCTTTTTGTCCTTTTTTCTTTGTTTTTTTATCCTCTATTCCTTGTTTTTTGTTTCTTTTTCTTCTCTTTTCCATCTCTCTTCCTTCATTCTTCCTTTGTTTTTTTCCTTTCTTTATTTCTTCTTCCATTTTCTTTCACTCTTCTCATTGTCCTTCTTTCCCCCTTGTTTTCCTTTCTTTTTCCTCCCTCTTTTTCCCTTCCTCCCTAACCTTTTGATCATTTATTTTCCTTTTTTATTCTTTTCTTTACACCTAGTTTTTTCCCTAATTTCTTTTTTTCTCATTTCCCCCTCACATTTTCCTTTTTACTACTTTTTCTTTTTACCTTTTCCTTTCTCTTTCTATTCTGTTTTCATTTTTTTGCTGCTTTTAGCCTTATTTTCTCCTTCCTATTTTCCTTCTCTTTTCTTCTTTTCCCCTTATATTTTCCTTGTCCTTCCTTTCCTTTTTTCTTCTTTCCTTCTTTCCCCTTCCCCTATATTTTCATTTTTTCATATTTTTTCATTTTTCATCCTTTTTTCTTCTTTCTAATTTTCCCATCTTTTGTCCTCATTTCTTTTTCCTTTCTTATTTTTTCTAACTTTCTATCATTTTTATTTTAAAATTAACTTTTTTCCATTTTTCCCCTGTTTGCTTCTTTGTACTTTCTTTTTTTCCTCCTTTTCCCCCTCCCTTTGTTTTTTGTTTTTTTTTCACTCGTGTCTGGTTTTCTCTTTGTATTTTCCTTATTTTCCTTCCCCCACGCTCTTCCTAAGGATTTCTTTTTGGATTTTAAGTCTGCCTTCATCTCTTCCAGGATTTGCTATTTCTGTTTTAGCCTCAGAAAATATTAAGCAGTTTCACAGAAAACAGCCCTTGCAGATATATCTTAATATGTGGATTTTCTCCCCCCTTTTCTTTAAATCTCAACCTTCTTCTCCTTTATATATTTGGGAATGTCCTTTTTTAAACACAGGGAGGTTCGAACCTGTGCAGTGAGGGTTATTAGAATGATTTTAAGTTTATTAAATTCGACTCTTTTGTTTGCTTCTTTTTTTGCCCACCTGTGCAAGGCACATGCTCTGGGCACTGTGGATATTTGATATATTTAATGTTTGGGAATGGGATATTTGGGGTGGGTTTTTTTTTTTTTTGTTTTTGTGTTTTTGGGGTTTTTTGTGGGGTTTTTTGGTTTTTTTTTGTTTGTTTGTTTTTTGTTTTTGGGTTTTTTTTGTTTGTTTGGTTTTTGGTTTTTTTTTTTGTATTTTTGTTTTTTGGTTTTTTTTTTTTTTTTTTGGTAATGCACTAATTTTTCCAGTCCTTGGCTTTTGGAAATGTTTATTTCTTTGGGTCTTTGCAATGCACCCACATTCCCTGGACTTATCCAGGTATGAAGCAAGGCCCTTCCATTTACTTCCTTTAGTTTTTATTAGCAGTGTTATTGATTCTACCAGTAAATTTTATTATTTTGACTAGGAAATTTTATTTTTTAATAGTAAAATATATTACGTTTAATAGTAAATTACTAGTGAAATCTTCTTTTTAGGAGCAATTTGAAGCCTTCATTTTCTCTGGGGTCAATCCTTGAGAAAAGCCAAGTTTTCCTTTCAATCATAGGCTTTTTTTGCCCTTGCAACTGGCTCTGTGATTTCTGATGGTACTTTTGGTTGATATTTTAAAGAAAGAGCCAAAAATGCACAATAACTTTTGGGAAGGGGCTGTGGAGGATCCTCTCCAGTCCTGTATCCATTTCAAGCCCCACAAAACCTCTCCTCTGGGTCTGGGAAATGCAAATTGAGGAGTCCTTTCCTTCTCCCCTTGCTGTCCCTCCCATTTTGATCCCTCAGCCTTTCCAAGCACATGGAATTTCTGGAGCCAGGAGCTCATCCCTGGGTTTCAGCGCAGGCAGAGCTGGGCTGAGGGCTGCTCTGTGCTGTCAAAATGGGAATTATTTTGTACATGCAGAAGCAGATATCCCTGCTCCTGGGAAAGCTGGCCCCCAGAGCTTAAAAATCCAGGAATTTCTTCCTGTGGTGGGCAGGAACTGAGCAGGAATCCCCAGTCGGGATTTTGGACATCCACCTGTGTTATCCCTATTTTTTTAAATTTTTCTATCATCCACCTTGCTGCCTTTTCCTCCTTTACCTGCTGAGGTTGGTTTGGTTGTTGGTGGAGTTTTTTGGGTTGGCTTTTTCTCATTTTTTTTCCCCTGGATCCTTTGCTGACATCCTCACCCAATATCAACCTCATCTTCCCTTCTCTAGACCCCTTTGTGACTCTTACCCTCCTCCCCTACGTATTTGTTCTCCTTTAGGGCACTTTTTTTTCCTCCTTTCTCAGAATTTTTGCATTTAGTCCCTAATTCTGTGACATTTTTTAGCTTCAGCAGCAGCCCTGCTGATGTGCAGCCTTTAACACCAGCAATCTGTTTGCTGCCAAAATTTTGGATCTCCTACTGGGTGTCTTGAGCTCTTCAAAGATTAGGTTAATTAATTAGAGCTTGAAATTAAAAGGCAGGGCAAGGAGATACTGGACCTGGAGTTTGAAACTCTGAATTTGTGCTCGTGGTCTAAGAGAAAAAATAATCCATGGTGGTTCTTTTGCTGGTTTTTGGGCTGATGATAGCAGTGTAGATTAGGAGAGTCACAGAAAAAAATAATATATAAGGAGAAATATATGAATATATAATATATATAATATAATATGTAATATCTTGTATATAATTATAATATATATTGTATAAAATTAATAAAATAAATAAAATATTATATATAATATATATTGTATATTATATATTATGTGTATAATTTATTTATCTAGAGGTTGGTTATATATATCTATATATATAAAGATTAATAAATAAATTATATATAATATATATTGTATATATAAAATTATGTGTATAATTTATTTATCTAGAGGTTGGTTGTCATTGGAGGATTGCAAATTAAATTATTACAGTCATTTATCTCCTGGGTTTCTGAAAGTACTTTCTAACCATTGCACTTGTAAAGGGAACAAAAACCAGCAGCATTTATTAGGAAAATTATCTTCCTTTGTGTTCAATTTACATTTCAGCCCTGGCTGGGTGCAGGGTTTGGCAGGGCCAGGTTTGTGCTGCTGCCAGGGCAGATTTAGGGGCTCAGGGATTATTTTGGGGGCTCTTACTCCTTGAGCCAGGAGTCCCTTCTGCCCTCAGCTGCCGTCAGGGCTGCTCCCAGACCTAAACCCCTCAAGATTTTAGGATTCTTATAATCAGAATTTTGGCTCCTTGGGATGCTCTCACAGTGTTGCTGAGCTGGGAGTGCTGGAGTTCACTCTGTGTGGAACACTTGGGATTTCTGGGCCCTTCTGCACCATTTCTTTGAGTGTCCCAGGGCTCAGAATTGCTGTTGCTGGGATTTTTCCCTCCTCCTGTGCCAGGCTGTGGTGCTGGAACCTTTTGGCTTTAGGCACAGGTGCATTTTTGGGCTGCAGCTGCCAGGCACAGCCCTTCCTCCATCTCCACGGGCTCCCAAATCCATTCAGGCTCTGAGGCTTCTGAAGGATATCCTGGAAATCCACAGCCAAGAAAACACCACTTAAAACTGACAGTAAATTGAGCTTTCATCTGATGCTTCCTCCCTGAGCAGAGACTTTTCCCAGAATGATTTCTAAAATAACCTATCTGTTGTTACCATGTTGTTATTACTTATATCTATTATTTATGTGCTGTTAATAGTATTCCTGTTGTTATCAAGTACTTAGGGAGTGCCACTTGAGAGGAATCTTTGTGGTTTTGGAGAGTAAGGAAATAATAATATTAAACACATGACTTCATAGTATCCTTAAGCTCCATGTGCACATAAGGCAGTATTGTATCCTTCTAATAACAGAATGAGGCTTTGTTCCTTTGATTAATGAGCAAAATAAACACATTGCTGAACTAAACCTTTCAGAGCTGTTCAAACCTCAATGTCTTTTTTTGCAGGTACTCCTGAGGATTATCCCCAGTATTTCCATATGAATCTCACAACGGCTGAACTGACGCTCCTCAAGCCAATAAATAGGGATTTACACCAGAAGTTTGACTTGGTTATTAAGGTAATTTGGGCTGAATTTTTTCAGTGTTTTTATATCCTTTGGAAAACAAAAAGCTCTGAGAAAATGTAGGGAGGGCCAGCTCGTCTGTTCTGTGATTTTCTCTTCCTTTTTAGCCTTTTCCTCTTTTACCTGCTGAGGTTCATTTGGTGGTTTGTGGAGTTTTCTGGGTTGTTTTTTTTTTTCCTTTTTTTTTTCCTGGCTTCTTTCCTGACATCCTTGCACAATATTAGCTTCATCTTCCCTTCTCTAGATCCCCCCTGTCAGGCATCACTTAGCTCCATGGGGGAAGAAGGGTGTGAAGCATTTGTGGAAATGGAATGAACCCTGGCAGAGTTGTAACATTTCACTTTACATTGTGTGAACAAGCTCAGCATCACTTGTCCCCTTGCTTTTTATGAGCCCTCTTGTCCTAAGAATGCAGCTGGTTTCTGTTTCATGTGTTCAGTTCACAGCCCATTTTGGAACATAGTGATACAGATAATTGTGTGAGTGTTCACAGAACCCCAGTCATGTCTTGTGAAGGCTGCCTTAGAACAGAGGCCAGACAGGGTTGAAGAATAAAGCAGGGATTTATTCAAAAGCTTCTATGAACCAAAGGTGAACCAAAATGGTCACAAAATGGACACCTGGTCACAGGGTCTGTCACTTTGATCAGTTCTGCCCCATTTGCATATTGGAGTTCATTGTCCAATTACAGCTTTAGCCCATGCAGTCCCATCCTGCCTGTTTTTCTCTCTTCAGCCCATGTTGTTTGTGCTCTTGGGCCTGAGATTTGGATCATTTGTCCTTGGTCCCCAGCTGGAGCAGGAATTGTTTTGTCTCCCTGCTCTGTGCACAGAGCTCACCATCCCTCAATGGGAAGCCCAGACCCACACACTAAAGCAGCACAGAATGTGAAAATACAAAAGCTAAAACCTGAGGCATCATTAGCATGGATCAGGTTGGGGTAGCAGTGAATAATTCATATTTTGAGTAGTGAATATTCACAGGATGCCAGGGTGTGTGAGGCTGCAGGGCTCAGTGGGCACCTGGTGTCCCCTCCCTGCTCCAGCAGGGCCATGCCAGAGGCCAGGGCACAGCATTGTGTGCAGCCAGCTGTGGCCCAGCCCCAGGGAGGAGAGCCCCCAGGCTGTGTGGGCAATGTGCTCAGGGCTGGGCAGTGCCCAGGGCAGAAGTTGTGCCTCCTGTGCAGGGCAATTGCTGGGCTCAGGCCCTGCCCGTGGCTCTGGGGCCATTGCTGGGCCCCGGAGCAGAGCCTGGGCCCTGCTCTGCCCCTCCCTGCAGCCAGGGCCAGCCAGGCCTGAGGGCCCCTCTCAGCTGGGGCTCCTCTCCAGGCTGAGCAGCCCCAGCTCCCTCAGCCTTGCCTGGGCACCCACAGCCTCCAGGCCCTTGCTCAGCTCCAGCAGCTCCTGGTCCTGCTGTGCTCAGCATCCAGAGCTGGACACAGCACTCCAGAGGTGCCTGCAGGGCTGCCCCAGGGCCAGGATCCCTCCCTGCCCTGCTGCCCATCCAGCTCCTAGCCCTGGGAAAAGCTCTAAAGCACAGCCCATCCCTGGAAGAGTGTCCAAGGCCGGGTTGGACATTGGGGCTGGGACAGTGGAAGGTGTCCCTGCCCATGGTAGGGGTGGCACTGGATGGGCTTTGAGGTCGTTTCCAACCCAAACCATTCCGTGCCTCTCCATATCCTTAGAGCTACAGGGCTTTAAGCTGTAACTCCTTTTCTTCCCAAACCTTGACTGCACAATATGTCAATTAAAAAATCAATTAACTGGTGGGAGAGGGTATTTTCTGTGCCTAAATAGCAACTCCAGTCTTTAATGGCCATGGTTATAGGGTTTAGGAGGTTCCTGTTGCTGTGGTAAATGTGCAGTGAGGGAAAATAAGCAAACAGTAAGGAAAAGGATCACTGTGTAAGAATGATTATGTGCCACTTGCTAAAACAATAAAAGTTTTTATGCTATATCCTTCAGGGACTATTGGAATAATGGCTCAGGCTTGTACCAAATCAAACCTTCAGCTTCTTGTGTTGCACATTTCTCATTTCTTGCAGTTGTAGGATCTGATTCTGTTTTATCTGGAGGGTGCAAGGTGTGATGTTTCCCTTCAAACAGAAAATATGCTATTTTTGCAGCATGTGCTCAGTTTAGTCTTTAAAATATTCCCTCTGATATGCGAAGATCAATTTTTTTTTTTCTTCTGTTAAGATATTATGGAAAACTGTAAAATGGAAAGGTGGTTAAGTCAATACAGGAATATTTGAATGCAGGAAGGAAGGTGGGCAGCAAATGGGGGCACTCACCTGCATTGCTGATAAATGTTGAATTCTCAAAGAGGGAGACAATGAAAAAAACTAAACATCCTAATAAGAAATGCTGGATTTCAGCTTTTCTTTACCTGTGGAATATATTAGATGAGAAGCAAGGAGAAAAACAATTTTGCCCTCCTATGGAAGTTCTTAGCACTTCCATTCCCTGCCAAGCATCCATGGGCATTATTACAACTTCCTTACAAAAAAAGTGGAGTTTTGGGGGAGTTCCCATTGAAATTTCACTGGGGTAACAGCAAAGCTGCCATAATATGTCGATTAAACCTTTAAACTGAAAGGGCTTAATTAAAATTAGTGACATGACCACTGCACTGTGGACATGAGATTGTTCTTGTTACCAGCTCTAGAAAGTGCCAGACAGGTTTTATTTTTATTTTTTTTTAAGCATGAAGCAATTGGGAGAATTAATCAAATTGATGCACTTTGCTCCCTTCCTATTTGAGCAGGGGTTATTTATCAATCAGCCAGAATCTAAGCTGGCACTTCCATTATGATCCATTTGCAAAGAGGATGGGCTGTGGGAGGTTGGATGTGCTGGCACAGGCAGGGAAGTGCTCATGGATGGAATTCCTGTGCTTTAGAGACTTCACCACACCTGAGGAAGAGCCAATTTTGATCAACTTGCTGGAGTTTCAAAGCATGAAGAGCTGGAGTTTCTCCTCAGTGTTTGCAGTGGGTTGATATCCAGGAAAAATCATGACATTTTTCCATTCAGAGCTGCTATAAAACCTGTAGGAGTTGCAACAGCAAAAAAAAAAAAAAAAAAAAAAAAAAAAAAAAAAAAAAAAAAAAAAAAAAAAACAAAAAAAAACAACCTGGAAATATTTTGATTCTAATGAAGGGCAGAGAATCCCAAACTGGTTTGGGTTGGAAGGGACCTTAAAGCCCATCCAGTTCCACCCCTGCCATGGCAGGGACACCTTCCACTGTCCCAGGCTGCTCCAAGGTCTGTCCAACCTGGCCTTGGGCACTGCCAGGGATCCAGGGGCAGCCCCAGCTGCTCTGGGAATCTGTGCCAGAACCTCCCCAACCTCACAGACCTTTTCCCATTTCTGGTTTTACCACTCTGGTCTATGCTACTTATCCAGGACTACATTAGGTTTTCTCTGCTTTAAAGAAAATGTGTCTTTGTCAGATCCAAAATCAAGGAAAGCATTTTATTTCTCCTGCAGAAATTGATTTTCCTTTTCTAATGGCATTGTATTAGTGACTAAAAATGCTTTGATTTTTAGAACATCAGGTGGAAAAATAGGGGAGTGTTTTGGTGATCTCATGTGGGCACCTGTGTACTGGTGAAATTGCATTGATTGCTTTAGAGTAGTTTAGATAATTAACTAAATCAATTTAGCTATCAATTTAACTAAATTGGTAGTTCTAGAGTGGATTTTCATCCAGCCTGGCTGGTCAATTCATAAACCATTGTCTGTTGTATTTGATTGTATTTGGGAAATTAGGGAGGATTTATGTGACTTGGGCATCTCAATAAAAATTCAATTAAATTATTAAAAAAAATAGGGGGGGAAGAGGGAAAAGGTAAGATAAGATTCCCAGCTTCAAATAACATTTGTAGCCTGACTTTTATTAATAAAAGACTTTTCCTTGAATGTAAGAGCTTTATGGCTCATAGTGGATACAGTCTCACAACCTGGCCAGTGGAACTGGATGAGCTTTAAGGCCCTTCCAACCCAAATCAGTCTGGAATTCTGTGAAAAAGAATTGGTTTGTATCCCTTGGCTTGTTTTGGTGCCTTCTCCACAGAAATGTGCTTCAACACCATGCCAGGGCAACACAGAGGATTTTGAAGAAGATTCTTGCATGGCATTTTCTGGATCCCTTGGATGTATCCCTGTGGTTCCCAGGAGGAACCCAGTGACAGAGAATTCCTCAGAAACAGCTCTACAGTGGAGCTGTGTATCCCTGTTGTTTAGAAGCTCAGAGTGGAGCAGGGTGCTTGCAATTCCAGTGTTAGAGGGGAAATTGGTTTGGGATGCCATTGTGCAAGAGGTGATGGAGGACATTGCTGCTGTAGTGTCTACTCTGGAATTTCTCCTGGCTGGAATTTTTGAACTGAGTGCCATTTCCAGCCAAACTGGGAAGCACAGGCAGCTCCAACTCTGCTCCCTGTGAGCAGGGACAGACCCAAGGAATGGATGGAGCAGTGCCTGAGTGCCAGGGGAGGTTTGGGTTGGATTTCAGGGCAAGGTTCTTCCCCCAGAGGGTGCTGGCACTGCCCAGGCTGCCCAGGGAATGGGCACAGCCCCGAGGCTGCCAGAGCTCCAGGGGCATTTGGAAACCTCTCCAGGGATGCCTGGGGTGGGATTGTTGGCAATCTGGGCAGGGCCAGGGGTTGGATCCACGATTCTTGTGGGTCCTTCCAGCTCAGGATATTTTGTGGTTCTCTGTTCCTTTCTCATGGAGGTGCTTTGGATCAGAGAGATGCCCCCAGCTGTCCCAGTGTAGTTCTATATCAGAATAAATCACACAGGACTCCATTTTCTTCATGCAGGAAAAAGCCCATTCTTTATTCACATAACTCCTTTTTATACGGTTTTACAGACCTCAAATGTAACTCCAATTGGCCAGGAGCTTTCTTGCCAATTATTTCATTGATTAGTAAAAGGTATTTTGCTTTTCCATCAAATCTCTCTAAATCTATCCCATGAGAATCAGTGAA